AACAGTCGAAGCAAATCTCAGAGCAGCAGGAGTGGTCTCAGGCAAGCGGGCAGCCGGTATTGCAAATAATTCATGCATATACAGTATATGCTCTTCTTAAAAAACAAACAAAAAAAGGAAAAAGAAAAAGAAAGAATTTCTATCTGTATGCCATTCAGTTGGCATCAAGATGCTACTGATGCCATCTAAAGGGATGACACTTCTACAACTCGTTTCACAAACATTCTTTTATACTTGTGTCTTGCAACAGTACCAGTTTTATAACGGTGCTGTTTAATGTGATTTTTCTTTTCCAGCGTCCACCAAGTAGAAGCAGTCCTCAGGCAATTGGTAGCAATTCTACCTCGTCAACAGCTCCAGTAAATACTCAAATACCAGAATTTTCGGAATGTGATTGGAGTGAGCATGCCTGCCCTGATGGATATAAATATTACTATAACTGTGTCACCTGTGAAAGCATGGTATTTTTTTTTTTTTTGCCTTCCTTTTTTTAAAAAAAAAAAAAAATCTATACTTAATATTTTTTGATAATAGCGCATAATGACTAACGTTGTTTAATATGATATGCAGTGGGAAAAGCCCAAGGAATTTGCTTTGTTTGAGGAACAAGTTAAGAAGCAGGTACAAGAACAAAATCCTTGCCACCAGCTCCAGACTTGTTCACCCGTCCTCTCTACCCAACAACCTGCTCAACCACAAGAAATCCAAAATCAGAGTCATGTTCTTGATCAGAAACTTCAACTCGAAAAACAATCTTTGTCTGCATCGGTGTGTATTTACTTTTTCCCAGTCTTTCATTTTTGCAAACTTTCTTGTCAATTGCATTATTGAAAGCATTTTTTTTTTTTAACTCTTTACTTATGTTTTTTTGGTTAGAGCGTGTATAACGACTAACAGTGTTTGAATTGATCTGCAGTGGGAAAAGCCCAAGGAATTTGCTTTGTTTGACGAACAAGTGAAGAAGCAGGTAGAAGAACAAAATCCTTGCCACCAGCTCCAGTCTCGTCCACCCGTGCTCCTTACCCAACAACCTGCTCAACCACTAGAAATCCAAAATCAGACTGATGTTTTTGATCAGAAACTTCAACTTGAAGAACAGTCCTTAACTGCACCGGTATGTATTACTCTTTCCTGGTCTTTCAGTTTTGCAAACCTCTTGTCGATTGCACTATGAAAGCATTTTTCTCTTTAACCATATACTTACATTTTTTGGTATGAGCGTATAACGACTAACGGTGTTTGAAATGATCTGCAGTCGGAAAAGCCCAAAAAATTTGCTTTGCTTGAGGAACAAGTAAAGAAGCAGGTACAAGAACTAAATCCTTGCCACCTGCTCCAGTCTTGTTCACCTGTTCTCTCTACCCAACAACCTGCTCAACCACAAGAAATCCAAAATCAGACACATGTTCTTGATCAGAAACTTCAACCCGAAATACAATCCTTGTCTGCATTGGTATGTATTACTCTTTCCTGGTCTTTCAGTTTTGCAAACCTCTTATCAATTGAACTATGAAAACATGATTTTTAAAAAATAATAATAATAAAAAAATAATCTATACTCATATCTTTTGGTAAGAGCTTATAACGAGTAACGGTGTTTAAAATGATCTGCAGTCGGAAAAGCCCAAGGAATTCGCTTTGCTTGGGGAAGAAGTAAATAAGCAGGTAGAAGAACAAAATCCTTGCCACCAGCTCCAGTCTTGTTCACCCATGCTCTCTACCCAACAACCCGCTCAACCACCAAAAATCCAAAATCACACTCATGTTCTTGATCAGAAACTTCAACTCGAAAAACAATCCTTGTCTGCACCAGTATGCATTAGTTTTTCCTGGTCGTTCTTTTTTGCAAACTTTCTTGTCAATTGTACCATGAAAGCATTTGTTTTTTTTGGTTAACTCTATACTTATATTTTTTGGTAAAGCCCAAAGAATTTGCTTCGCTGGAGGAACAAGTAAAGAAGCAGGTAGAAGAACAAAATCCTTGCCACGAGCTCCAGTCTAGTTCACCTGTTCTCTCTACCCAACAACCTGCTCAACCACCAGAAATCCAAAATCAGACTCTTTTTCTTGATCAGAAACTTCAACTCGAAAAGCAATCCTTCTCTGCACTGGTGTGTATTTACTTTTTCCCAGACTTTCATTTTCACAAACTTTCTTGTCAATTGCACCATGAATGAGACTTTTGTAAGCTTTTCTTTTCTCATCCTTCATATTATAAAATTTGTAATGTTGCTTCACTAGGTCATCTTTCAAACCTTATGCTCATTCTTATGAACATAAGGTATCTTTTGGTTCTTCACTATAAACATTGTTTACGCATATTGCATAAGCAGGCATTAGTCATGTACTTGTCCACATGGAAGGATGTTTGTTTGCAAAAAAATGTATTTCACATGTTCTAGAGACAAATAGCTGTAATCCCTACATGACATGTCTCATCAACTTTGATGTGCAAAGTACAAGACGGGTTTTTATGACTCGGTTGTTCACATGGTATAGAGTGATTAATCAATCCTTGTTATAAATTGCAAGTCGCAAGTTTTGCATTGTCGATGATCTCTGTTCCAGTTGTCAAATTCTTGCTCAGTTAGTGACTTAATTTTTCTACCTATAATACTTTCGTATGTTGTTTTATATTTACTATATTGGAAGTGTTGATATTGATTTGTACTCCTTAGGAACTCTTGTATTTGGTTTCATTTTCCAAATGACTTTTATGAGGCTAGGAGTTGCATCATTTTAGTGAATATCATTCTGTAGGAACCGGATCGCATGGAAGTGCAGTGAGGGAAGGGTCCTGCTATTTCGCAATCCATGTTCTGAAGTTATCAGGTATATATCTGTACAATGTATCATTGATCTAGGCCGTTCGTGGTCTTATCTGTACAATGTATCATTGATCTAGGCCGTTCGTGGTCTTATTATGAGTGCAGGGTGATGGTCCATTTCCCCCCAGCTGATCACCAATCTTAGTCCTGAGGAGCTCCAGAGCATTATCTTGGCTGGCCAGCTACATTATCCGCAAACAATTTGCTGTTAGAATAATTTTATCTTTTTAGATTCTTGCTTCCATTTTGTTCACTTTTTTACCCCGGATTTTTCAATCAGACTGGGATTGAAGGTTTTTTTTTTTTTTTTTTTTTTTTTGGGGGGGGGGGGGGGGGGTATTTTTTTTTTTTTTTTTTTTTGGGGGGGGGGGGGAGGGGGCAATTTTATGGGTGATTACTGTATGATGAACGTAATCAATGGAGTGGCCTTTGCTGGTATATTAACATGGGATATATCTGTGCATATAGATATGTACATGTACACGCATCATATAAAATCATTTGTTCCTTTTTTTTTTTTAAGCTTCTATTATGTTCGTAATGGATATAAAGAGACCTCCAATTTTTTTTTTTATGTTTGTTTCTTTTATCTATTCCCAGTTCTTGAATCAGAGACCAGCGCTTGAGCAGCATAACGAGATTGAACTATGGAGGAAGCATAAACACGCATGCGTATCCAGGTGGAAAAATATGGCCTTCGCTATAATAGGCAGTTTACTCTTTTTTCCTAAGAATAATTTGGAATTTACTTATTTCTTTCAAACAATGTTAAAAGGACACTAGTGATGTTGGAAGTCAAATTAGTTGTGGTGTTTAACACTTGTGCCTCTAGCGTTTCTCATTTCATAAGCTTGCCTTCCAATCCGCTACAAAAAAAAGGGGAATATTTCCTTTAAAAAAAGACGAATATTCATAAAATAGAAGTATATCGTACACATGCATCGTGTGTAATTTCGTCCGGTATTCTCTTAAGTTTATCAATATAACCATTTATAAGTAATTTATTCCAATTTGATCATTCTAGGTTTTAATTTAAAGAGTAACTCTTAGAAAATCAAAAGTAGTACGTACGTACTTCTTACATCCTTTCATTAGGTTTGAAATGTGTTAAAAAAGAATATTTTTCTCAACGTCAAACAATAAACTATACAAGGAAAAGAGAGAGTACAATAAAGTGAGATCAAAAGTGGTAACCACTAACCAGTTGCCAGCCTAATTTACTGATTAATCAGTTAATAGTAACTGGATCAGGGTGGGTGGTCGGAGCGAATGCACACATTGTCATAGACAAGCCCAGCAATGCCACCATCAATGATAGGCCCAACCCAGTTCATGGATCCACTAGAAATGGGCCTGTGATCGCAATGCTTTCCAATGATGAAGTAAGAATTTTTCTTCGAGAAAATCGAAAAATTTCTAAGATTAACCATTGTTTTTTCTAACTATGTCACTGCACAAAATTTTGTGATGGCACTATAAAAAATAACTTACAGATTATGAAATCAATATCTCCTAATGTGTTTAGTATTGTCCATTTTGTTTTTAATTTGTTTAAGTTGATCTATTCTTATAAAGAAACCGTTATGATTAAAATGTCAATAATAGAAAGATGACTATTATAAATTTGCACTATTCCCAAATTTTAAACTAATGCTTTGTTTGTTTCGTGGATTCGGATTATATAGTTTTGAACGTTTAAGTTTGAACCTATTTGTGGGTTTTCTATGGTTCAAACTGATGTTTAGAAGTATAAAGTCTAAACTTGTAATAAAACATCACACTAGAGAATAAAGTTTGAACTGGTGTTTTGGTTTGTGTGAGAATTATGAGTAAACAGAGATAAAGCCAAGGTTTTAAACCTGAAATACTATTCAACCCACGAGAACTTAAGAAAGTTAAGTTCTCCAAAACCGACGATTTTGGATTCTCAACCTTATTTCAGGTTCAAACTTTTAGAAACCAAAAAGAATCCACAATGGTTCAAACCTTCCAAAACCCTCTTCAACTCTCCAATTAAACAAGCTATAAATAAATTGTGCAGTAGAGTATAATTTTTTTAAGTAAGCGTGTAAATGAAACTTATCGTGATATTTTGTGTAAAATTTAGAATTATAACATTTTTAATAGGCCAAAAGTAATAAATTTTAGATCAAATTTAAGGGTGTGAATGAAATCTTATAAAATATTTACTATTAAGAACAAAATTCGAAATTAATAAATTTTAAGGCGGGCTAGAGATGAAAACTTGGTATAAAAATAAAAATTCATTCATTTACTATAGCATGAAAAACTAGGTAAAAACTAAAGCATGCCCATTTATTCACATGAAACAATGTAACTTGTGGCTTTACAGCTTTATTTCATCGATCGACTCTTGAATCCCAAATAGAAAATCAAAAATAGAAAGGTTTTCAAATATAGACATTGATAGTCCCCTATAAATCATATTTATGTTCCTTGGTTTTTGGCTTTTGGATTTGACCAAGTTGGCCCTCTTTTGTGTTTTGTGCCTGGTAAACCCAGCATTGTTTGTGCAGGTTTAAATTTTTGCAATTTGTCGGTAAGAATAATAGAGAGCATAGGTTTATATCATTTTGCATGTGTTATTTTTTTAAATTTTTTTATTTTTTCTGATTAAATCGACGGTCATTATGCTTTTGTTCTGTTTATTTATGAGTCTCTGAGTGTTTTTTCAAGTGGGTTTGGTTTCCAAATAAAAGTTTGTGTGGATTTTCCATGTTTGCGTGTGGATTGAAGGTGGTTTTTTTCTCGTTGGTTTTATTATCTATTGTCAGTATTCTTCAGCAAAATTTGGTTTTGTTTCTGATTTTTTCTTTTGTTTTTTTTTTTTTTTGGTTGAGAAAATTCTAAAATGACTCTCTGGAACTTATCAAGGGATATGACGTTTTAAATATGATTTTTTTATTTAGTGGGTATTGGTTTTTACTTGTAGTTTTAAAATCCTTTTGTTTTATGGTTTATATTGTGTTGTTTTCCTACATCTCCGTTTATTTTACCGATTTGAGTTTTATTACAGTAAAGAACTCTCAGAAACAGTAACATTTAATTTTTTTGTTACACTAAAAAACTCTCACATAAAGTCACATCTCAACTGAAATTAAAAATTCGAATCAGCGAACTAAATGGGAGATTTGTTTTCTTTCTTTATTTTTGACTCGTAGCATTTGATTTGCTTTTTAAGTTTGAAAATTAAAATGGGTCTCTAGAATTGGAAACTTGAAAGCCAGTGGGTGAATCTTTTTTTATGGCTTTATGTTACGATTTTTTTTTTGTTTTTTGTTTTTTGCTTTTTCAGCTGTCAAACTTTCTCACAACATATAACACCAATTTATTTGAAGATTCTACTATAACAATGTTGTCATAATTGATAAATAGTCTTTTTATATTTATGTGTATATGTTTTTTTTTTTTTTTTGGTGAGAAAATGGTCTTTTGATGAAAATGGATTTGGTTCTCTTTTTTTTTTTTTGTCAAAAACCTACTTGGAATTGCGAATTTAAACCAATTAACTGCGAATGATTTTGGATTTTTCTTTTATAAATTTTGGAGAATAAAGTGCTAATATATTTGACTGGGGTATAAACTTTCCTGATGACATTCTACTCTTTCGAGTCATTTTGAAATAAGATGTTACTGCCACAATGAGCCCAACTAGCTTTGGAGGTTATTGTTTCTCAGTTTTGTTCCTTGTTCTTCTGATTCTTTCTGTTATGTAATTGGAGATTCGGGAAGAAGCTATCATGATCAATACTATCATTTATATCTTATTCGGAACTGGGTAACATATATTCTAATATATATGTTACATTGTTATTATATTTAATTACCTAAAATTCCTAGTTAAGGTTTATAATTAGTTAAGAATGCCGCTCACTATAATTTTAATTACTACAAGTGAAGCATGTTCTTCATTTCTTGATATTTTTCTCTAAAATCTTTAAATTTCATGTTTGATCTCATGTAAAATTATTTGTATGCACGTTTGTTTTCCCAGATTCAGACATCTCCACCTGGCTCTCGAAGATATGTTGAAGCTAAAAAAGAGCCAGACGATGCACTTGCTATGATGAAGCATGGGAGTGATAATTTTGCTCGTATCAGAAAATTCTTGCTCAAGAACAAAAAATGGCTCTGAAGTGAAGAATAATAATGTCAAATATACTTTCAACAATTGCTTCAAGTCAGTGGTAAACTTTATCTAGTTAAATTCAGCAAATATATCCATAAAAATAATTGTTGAATTATTTTTAATTAGAATTATTATTTATAATTATTTCTTTTCATGCAGTCGTGTATTTATGATAAATACTGTGGATATTTTATCAATATTGTTGTAAGAGTCTGTTTCCACTATTTAGCCTAATTCAGTGGTTTCCGCATGAGGATATGCAGATGTTGTTCTCATGTGGACACTTGCAAGCTTCGAAAGACTTAAGCGTGTAGCCAATCAGTACAAGGTGAGGCTTTCTCAGTTCTCATCAATAGATCTTACTGATATTAGTATACTAACTTTTTGTATAACGTTTCGCATTACACATGTATGTCTATGTTTGTGTATACGTGTCTGTAAACTGTTCCTATATTTGCTTGAAATTCAATGCAGTTTTTGCTCGACACTTGTGTTATTCTTGGCAATGAAGTATGTTATTCTTGGCAATGAAGTAGCTCACATCCTGTAACAGCTGGAGAAATTAAACATAATTAATAAGATAATTAAAATTTATTAATATGTTTAATTTAGTTTAATTAATTAATTATGTTCATTAAATGTTTCTGATATGTAAATTTAAATGTTTTCAAGAGATTAAAATATTTTCAGTATTTTCATTCTAAAAATATATGTAGACACACTTTTTAGTCTACTTTTATAAATATCTTTTAAAAATTATCCTTATTTTCGTTATTTCTTTTTCTTCCTTTTTCTTTCTTTTTCTTCCTTCTTTTTCCCGCGCTCCCTCTCAGCTCTCTCACTCTCTCTTTCACTCTCTCTCTCTCTCGTCCAATTTGTCACCAATTCTTCCGAATCTTGAACCAAAGAAGAATTTCAAGGAGTTTTCAACGTTAAGAAAATGATTTGGGGTAAGATTTCTGAAAAACTTCTCTTGAATCTCAAATTTTTTCGTTAGAAAAACCTATTTTTAGTTTAAATTGGATTTTGATGGATTTTGGGTAAAATCACGGTGAAAATTGGGGAAAATTAGTTATTTAGACTTGATTTAGTAATTGGAACCTGGATTTGAT